CTGCACCCCAGTTTAATGCAGGTTGCAGGTGGTTTGTTAAATTGGATTATCCCCCTGAGAGTGGTATGGGGAACATGCCATCAGTGGAGCGAGAGATCGCAGCCTTAACCACTTTGGGACCTGATAAGGTTACAGATAACCCTCGTTGTCCTGGTAAAGAGTGCCAAAAGACCGATCGGTTCCAAGCGTATAATGCAGCTACCCGAGCAGCTCGATCAGGAAATGCTTTAGCAATAGTTCTGGCTGCTTTGAGGAAGGTTGTTAATAAAGAAGAGCATGATATGATGAGTTTAATTGACACAGCACTCCATCACACACTCACAGCTTACTAGGGATATTGGAGCATCCATGTCTTCAGCTATCTTAGCCAGAAGACAAATCTGGTTGGCGCAGACATCTTTGCCTGACGCTATTAGGAAGGACCTGACTAATATGCCAGTGGTTCCAGGTCGGATATTTCACACTGATTCACAGTCTCTGCTGGACACTGCTGATCAAGCAAGACGCAGAAGGGAATCAGTTCAGCAGACATTTGGTGGACTTACCAAATATGGCCATAGAGCAGCCCATTCCTTTCAGCCCCCAAACTTTCCTCGTTCAGAAACTTGGGGGTATGACAGAAGGCGAACCAGGGGTTACCAATTCCATGATCGAGGCACCAGACCATTTTAAGAGGCTCCCCAAACTGACCAGTCTCATACTCCAGTCAGGGGAGGGTCATTTAAGAGACGTACTACCAGGGGTTTCAAACCCCGGGGAGGCCAGGCATAGCGGTCTTGGAGTCGCCGGAGAATGCTCCCAACTATGCCTGAACAGTTGGGAGAAGGTAACATCAGATCCTTGGGTTCTAGATACCATCAAGACAGGATACAGGATACAGTTCCGGCGGCGCCCTCCTTCTTTTTGAGGGGTTCAAATGACCATAGTCAGAAACCCAGTCCAGGCACAAATTTTGGCCAACGAAATCACAGTCTTAGTACAGAAAAAAGCAATTGTACAGATAAGTACCAGCAAACAGCTCACTGGGTTCTATTCGAAGTATTTCCTAGTACCAAAGAAAGACGGGGGACTTCGACCCATTCTGGACTTACGACAGCTGAACCGATTCATAAAAGTATTGCCCTTCAAAATGCTGACTACAGTTCAAATTCTGGAATCCATAGAACCGGGAGAATGGTTCACTTCCATAGACTTAAAGGATGCATATTTCCACATACCCATCTGTCAGGGTCATTGCCCGTTTCTTCGCTTTGCTTTTCAAGATCGGGTCTACCAGTTCAGGGTCCTTCCATTTGGCCTGTCTCTGTCTCCAAGGGTCTTCACCAGAGTGGTTTCTGCAGCCCTTCGTCCTCTTCAATGTGCAGGTTTGAAAATTCTATCATACCTGGACGACTGGCTAATTTGTGCTCCTTCTCGCAGCCAAGTACTGAAGGACACAGAAATGGTCCTTCAACATGTACAGTCACTAGGTTTCAATGTGAACTGGGAAAAGAGCAATCTAAGTCCCAGACAACAGACAGTGTTTGTGGGAATTTCGCTGGATTCCCAACTGATGACTGCATCTTTGTCACCCCAGAGGGTGTAACAGTTGGTCAGTCTAGCTCAGTCATTTCGTCTGACCAAGAGAATGAAGTTAATTCAATTTCAGCGATTATTGGGCATGATTGCAGTGGCAGTGACTGTGGTCCCACTCGGCCTTCTCAGAGCCCGTCCACTACAATGTTGGTTGAACAACTTCCACTTGCATCCCAAATTACAAAGGCATATGAAGATTACACGAAGATGTATCCAAATGTTACGTCTTTGGAATACGAAGACGTTACCATCACAAGGGGTTCCTCTAGGCAACATCCCAGCAAGGTGATCTGTGATAACGACAGATGCTTCTCTAACGGGTGGGGAGCAGTTTGGGAAGGCAGGTCCATCAGGGGACTCTGGGAATCCCCTTGGACCTCGGAGCACATCAATGTGCCGGAACTCAAGGCGGTCCATCTCTCCTTGAGGGCTTTTCTTCCGTTGTTGCAGAACAAACATGTTTTGGTGAGAACAGACAACATGTCTGCAGTATACCACATCAATCACCAAGGCGGCACCAGATCAGCGCGATGTCTCCAGGTGACAAAGGAACTACTCTCTTGGGCATTTCTGAAGCTCTCATCACTCAAAGCAGTATACATACCGGGAGTAGCAAACAGAGCAGCAGACCTGCTGTCTCAAACTGGACCTCTCCCGGGAGAGTGGCGTCTCCATCCCGAAGTGGTAAGAATCATATGGAGTCAGTTCGGAATGGCGAGGGTCGATCTGTTTGCGACTACAGAGACAACTCATTGCGATCTATGGTATTCCCTGAACAACCAGGGAGGTCCCTTGGGGATAGATGCACTATCTCAAGAATGGCCGGAGGAATTGTTGTACGCTTTTCCTCCCCTACCTCTGATTCACCTGGTGCTCAACAGGGTAGCGTTGGGTCATCCCAAGGTTTTACTTGTGGCCCCCAGGTGGCCAAAAAAGCATTGGTTTCCGAACCTTGTACTTTTGGTCCAAGGTCAACCTTGGCAGTTACCAAAGAGAGCCGATCTTCTCTCCCAAGCGGAGGGCCAAATCTGGCACCCAAAACCAGAGATACTACAACTGTGGGTATGGCCCTTGCTCAGCCCCTCTCTAAAGACTTAGACGAAGCTGTATTGAGGACAATAAATAGTTCTAAGGCACCATCTACGTGGAGTAACTATTCTAGCAAGTGGCGGATATTCTCAACGTGGTGTCAAGACCAACAACTAGATCCAGCCAAGTGTGACACCAGTTTGGTTCTTCGTTTTCTTCAATCGTTGATGGATTCGGGGAAGTCAGTTAATACCATAAAGGTCTACATTGCAGCCATCTCCCACTTTCATGTGTCAGTGGATGGTGCAAATATTGGCAAACACCCTTTGGTGTCTCAATTTCTTAAGGGTGCACACCGTTTACATTCAAGGAGAAGTATGAGAGCACCTGCTTGGGACCTTTCTATTGTCTTACACTCACTGACCAAAGCACCTTTTGAACCTCTGGAGCAAGCCGATCTCAAGTTCTTGACATGGAAGACAGTCTTCCTACTGGCGATATGTTCAGCCAAAGAGAGTTGGTGAATTACACTCTTTATCAGTCAGTGAAGAATCCTTGAGATGGAAGGCGGAAAAAACGGGGGTTTTTCTTTGGCCAAACCCGTCTTTTCTACCCAAGGTCCTTAAACCTAGTACAATAAATCAATTGATTGAGCTTGATGCTTTCCGTCCAGATCCCCTTTGTTCGGGTGCTGGGTTAGATAATTCTTCTCTATGTCCTATTAGAGCATTGCACACATACATTGAGCATACTCATCAATTACGGCAGTCACACATGCAACTATTCATATGCTTTGACAAGAGGTGTGGAGGTAAACCTGTGTCTAAGCAACGATTGTCTCATTGGGTAGTGAATACAATATCACAAGCTTATGTCAACCAAAATCTACCTATCCCTGGTCATCTGGTGGCTCACTCTACCAGGAGTATGGCTACTTCCTGGGCGGCACTCAAGGGGGTAGCGCTCTCAGACATCTTGGAGCAGCCCATACACGTTCACTAGATTTTATAGGATTAATGTGGCAAATCCGAATTCTTTGGGGTCTGCTGTATTATCTGTGACTAAATGAATCCCTCGTGACCCTGGTGGTATAAGTCATCCAAGGTAAGACCGTGGTGACGGTCTGAGTGAGGTCAAAATAGATCGTAAGTTATGACCATAACTATGGATCTATGAGACCGAACGATGACCGTCACCATCCCTGGGCGTTCCAGGCAAGAGGAAGTGGTTGGTTCACCTGGATGTTATATAGCCAACCCCTAAGGTCAGTCACCTGACATTGTTGATATTAGGTCTCGAGGATAGGCGGAAGAATGGCGTCATTCAAGGTAAGACCGTGGTGACGGTCATCGTTCGGTATCATAGATCCATATTTATGGTCATAACTTACGTTACCCCTCCCACTTCTGCTAGTTTTACTGAGATATCTTATCCCATGCGAATTGGCCATTAATTACATACGTCCTGTGGTAAAATTACATTAAGTTAATCCCGTCCGAAAAGGGTTTAATTAGGACACCTCAAGTTTCTGAGGAAGGGGGTAGAAATGTCACAGGTTAACCTGGACTTAAAAACATACACTAATTTCACTGGTACTGTAGACTACATTGCCGGCAGAATAAACATCTGTGTAACGTACACATCAGGAAGGTGTTATGGAGTTTTTGTTTAGTTTAGTTTAAATTTTGTTACTGCTGTGTTTTCAACTCTTTCTAGTTTTTCTTAAAGTTTGTCATTATTTTCCTTAAAGAACAGAATGCCAGAACACACAATAATTCATATGATAATTAACTTTATTTTCCCACAAATTTTCCACAAACCTTATTGCAGTTAAACTTCCCGGTACACTCCGTCCGTACAACCAGAGAATGTGTACAACCGGGTACAACCCACAACCAAACCCATAATCCAGGTTAAACACATCACTTCCTTTGGAAGCTACATTTTGGTGTACACAACAAATTATTCAAACAGATTTAACTGGAAAATAATTATAAAGAACAATAGGTAACACTTGTATAATAAGGTCTCATTAGTTAGCATTTATTTATGTATTAACAACATTAACAATTAGCAATAACTACATTTGTTACAGATGTTATTATTCTTTATCTTAGTTTAAAAAAACAAGAACTGTTCATTTTAGTTAATGTTAACGTCTGTATTTATGTTGTTCCTAAAGCGCCCTCTACTTTTTCATTCAGCGCCATCTACATTTTCATTCAGCGTGTCTCTTTCACTCGTTCCTCCATGCTTCTTATCCATATGAGGTTGTCTTATTACTGTATATCAGCACATAGGCAGTTTATTATGTTTGGAGACACATCCAAAAAAATTGCATTAAGCTGAAAATTGTTAGTGTCATAAAAAAAACCTCTTCTTGTTTTCCTCCTTAGCCGTGGATTGTGGCAATCCAGAGCTTCCTGAATTAGTGGAGCTATCAGAAAAAGATCCTCCAACAACTTATCTGAAACAAATCAGATTCAAGTGCAAATCTCAGTATTATCAACTGGATAAAACTGGTGAGATGTGTATGGTTTTTGTGAGCATCATTGTCATAATTCTTGATAAAAGTATAGTTCCACATCTTTGTCTGTCTTCCCTTTTCTCAGGTAATTTTACCTGTAATGCTGATGGTAATTGGGTGTCTGAGAGTGGTCAAAAATTAACAGAAGATTTGCCTAAATGTGAACCAGGTACTCAGTCATCCTGAATATGATTATAACGCCAAATATGCCTTGTTAGGTTTATTTTTTTAATTGTTCATATATTTCATATTTCTCTCTCTTTCTTTTAGTGTGTGGAATGAATTCAGAGGTCTCTTTTGGTGGCAGAGTCTTTGGTGGGAAACCTGCCGCACTGGGGCAGATTCCCTGGCAGATCTTACATAGGTCAACTCCCAGAGGTGGTGCGTCTCTGATCAGTGATTACTGGGCTCTAACAGCTGCTCATATGGTAGATGGATATGAAGACAACACTATGAGTTGGTTAGGAGGACTAATTGATAGTCAGGACAAAAACGCAGTCATTATGGAGACAGAGAAGATCATAATTCACCCAAATTATCAGAAAGTTGGTAAAAATGTAAAACCAAACAAATTTGATAATGACATTGCACTCATCAAAATGTCTGCCAGGGTGACACTCGGTCCAAACATCAGGCCAGTGTGTCTGCCAAACAAAACAGATGAACTTGTGGCGGAGGGCACAATCTCAGGTTTTGGTAGAATGGAAGAAAAAATGAGTCGATATCTGCTTCATGGAGTTGTTGAGATATATTCACTTGATAAATGTGATTCAAGAGGTTTACCTGTCACTCATAACATGTTTTGTGCTGGAGGAGATAATATAGACAGTTGTCAAGGTGACGGTGGAGGTCCTTTGTTTTCCCCTGTTCTGGGCTATGGGTCTCCAGACAAGCCTTATCGTCTCGCAGGCATTGTATCATGGGGTCCTCCTGGATGTGGAAATAAAAGCTTCAAGGGCTACTATACTAAAGTACAAAACTACTTGGATTGGATCCAAGAAACCATGGAAAAAAACTAACATCAGCGTACTAAAATTATATTCACCAACACCAGTTGATATTATAATGCATATCTTAAAAGTTTCTGTCTATCTAATCCGCTATATATAAATGATTCAAGTTTTATATGCCCCAATAAAATAATTTTCACATAAAAAGCCATTCAGTCTCTTTTGTACAATGGCATTTCCATGCCTCGTACGTTTGCCTTTCTAGATTTGCCTTCCTCTTCAGCCAAATCAAATAAACCTGATTTTTATATGACTTTTAAACTCATTGCCCACCTGCGATGCCGAAACAGCAAATATATATGATTTGTGATTTATTTCCTCAAAACTGCTTAATAGTCAAACACTTTCTTTGTAACTGACAAGGATGGAAACATATAATCTGTAAAGAAAAGATGTGTAGACTTTAACCCTTAATGTTTGAGTAAACAGGTTGAAAACGCAGCAAGGATTACGGGAAAAGTGGTCATCTCTCTCTCTCTCTCTCTTTTCTGCCATAGCCAAATCAAACAAGTTTACCTTTTTTGATGACTTTTAGACTCTTGTTCTCTCATATGTGATTGTTAACCACATACACTTTATCACAATAAAACCTCACGACTGCATTATCAGGGTAGTGAAACAGTTATTGACATCTGCATATCTGTAATGGATGGAATTCATCTAATAATTTGGTAAGTTGTTTTTAGATTTAATTCTTAACATTTGCATGTATTACAACATATACTGTATTCAATTTTGTTGTTCATTTAACAACAATCATTTGTGGACATCAACATTTCTTAGCCATCTCAGAACATCCTGTGTCTATTTACTGAATTCTTCCAGCAAGACACAATTATGATCTTTTTCTGTATTTTACATGAACACTGATCCAGCCTGCTGTGGGCATGTGTGAATGTGTGTGAATGCAAGCCGGCCATGTTTGGAGAAGTGTCTTCTCCACAGTACCCTCAGCCTTATCCAGAGAATCTCCAAGAACAGTGGGACCTGGAAGTGCCTCAAGGATACCAGATCCAGCTAACATTCAATCACCTGGACATTGAGCCCTCTCCAAACTGTTACTACGATTCGGTCTCGGTTAGTGATGCTTCAACTTAGATTTTCAGTATCATGTGGATATGTTGCACAATTCATACCTTATACTGTGTTGTGGGGAAATGTCTCCAAAGAAAGTCATACTCTATGAATTAGGATTGAAAATGTCATTATGTGACTACTGTCATTTGGCTTTAGTCATTTATCTAGCAGGATGTATAATTTCTAATACTTCAGCACATGTGGTTCATTTATATTCAGGTTGTGTCTGATGAGAAGGTTCTGGGGAAGTTCTGCGGTCAGAATTCCACCGACAGGTTTCACCCAGGTGAAAAGCCTATCCTGGCTCCCGGTAATCGTCTCCAGTTGGTTTTTCTAACGGACGACTCAAATCATGAGTCACACTTGGGATTCACTGCGTTCTACCAGGCTGTTGGTGAGTTACAGTATATACACGTTTCAAGCATATTACAAACAATTTAGTGTTGTGTACATAATATGTTCCCACCCTAAACATGTTCTATCAGGATGCAAAATATTCTGCTTTTAGATTTTTAATTCTCATTCAACAGTTCGGTCCTTGAATTTGATTATTATGGAATTTATTATTATGGAAAAAAGAATCACAGTGGCTTAGCTGCAGCAACTTTCATTTTTATTATTGATACATTGCACCAGTTTCACAGGAAGTGAAAATGTTGTTCTTTTAAACACATGGGATGGAAATATTCTCATGGGATGGAAACATTCACAAGCGTTGTATGAGTTAAATTCAATACTTTTGGATGGTAACATTTCTACTGTCTGCAATTGCATCAATACACCAGTAGGTGCAAACAAGTGTCTTTATGAGAGAGTCATTGAATCATCAGCTCAACTGATTCGTTCAAAAACACTGATTCATTCAGTAACAAAACACTACTATGGTGTGTTGCTCGGGGACTGTGGCTTCATTTTGGAAATATTAATGCAACAAAAATAGACAGTAACTGGCAATAATGTGTCTAAAATGTAACTTGCTGAATATTTATTTCTTGTTTATTGAACGGTTGTATTAAACCAGTATGCTGAATAATGGTAGAAGAGCACTGTTGTCGTGTGATGTTATTTAATTAAATTTGCTACAAGTTCAGTGCTGTATTAACACCATAACCTTTTGTGTACATCTTTTAATGCTTGATATCCTTATATCCTTGTTCCCTTAGACATAGATGAGTGTTCGTCATCCAGTGTGGTAAAAGATCCACCATGTTCACAGATATGCCTCAACACTCTTGGCTCCTACCTGTGTGCATGTCACCATGGTTACACACTAAAGCCTGACCAACGCACCTGCGCCTGTGAGTGTGTTCATTAAAAACAACCCAGGCGTCATGATCTTTACATTTTTAGCATGCTGTGTTATGTTGATTATGTAGGTTGGTGATTGTTTTTAGTTTTCTGGGGTGTTAAAAAAATTAAATGCTATGCATTTTTTCAGTCATGATTTTAAACAGTTTATTTATAATTTCTAATCAATTTACGTATATTTGCATGTATAGCTTTCTGCTTTTAATCATTGCATTCTAATGTATAGTCATCAAAATAATAGCATAATAAAAACAATCCAGTCATATGATTAATGTAATATATAAAAACAATATAAAAATCAAGGTTATCGTTGTTAACCAAAAATAAAACTAATAACAAAAATGTTTTATTTGAAATAAAGCTGAAACAAAATATAATATAAATATTAAATGAAAAACTTAAACGAAACGAGAATGATAAATATATATATATATTATAACTATATTTTAGTTTTAGGCAACATTTATCATTCTCGTTTCGTTTATATATATGTGTGTGTATATATAAATATAATCATATATTATCATATATATTATATGATTTAAAATAATAAAAATGACAAAAGCACATAACAAAATTACTACAAATTAAACTAAAATTTAAATGAAAACTGAAAAAAGCTAATTAAAATATTAATAAAAACGGACATAGTATAATACAAAAATAACACTGATATAAAGCATGGTCTAACATTACATCCAGCTGAAAAAATAATTACATATAGACCTTATGTAGCCCCGCCCCTTTTCAGCACTGCACTTGTATTGTGTCTTCCGGTTTGTATTTCACCGGCATGAAGGTAAGATCTTACTGATTTATGAACAAACCTACTGACATTTGTTATGACATCCACTTCAAACATTACAATGCTCATGATAACTTTTGTTAACTCTACAATAAGTAAATCCACTTCACCAGCTACTTTCCAATAGCGATGCCATAGAAATATACAGAGCTACCGCAGAAACGGAAGTTCAAAGATAAAATTCTATATGGCCGTGCGCTTGTTTCTGTGGCGCATAAGATCTATAGCAAGTGGTGTGTGTTTCCCGCCTGTGCTAGTGGACTGTGGAGGTGGGGTGCACAGTGAACTAGAGGGGACCATCTCCAGTCCTGGTTACCCAGACATGTCCCCACAAGATCTGGACTGTGTCTACAGCATCTCTGTGCAGCCAGGCTTCATTATCACTCTCAACTTTAGCCAGAACTTCCACATAGAGCAGGTCTACAATCAAGGACCAACCTGCCTCTACCACTGGCTGCAAGTATGTTTTGCTATAAACGTCTGTCTATCTTCAGATGAATACATTTTTTAGGTTTATTTCTCATTTTTTCTCAGGTGTCTGTCTTAGGAAAAGATCAGAAGTACTGCGGAGGGAAAAGCCCTGGCGTCCTCGACACTGGCACTCACTCTGTCCAGTTGGAGTATCACACTGACAGATACGGACAGAGCCAGGGGTGGAGCTTACATTACACCACACAGAGTGAGAGAGAGAAAATATGCTGGATCTTTATAAACCAATTTCCAGCCGACGTCACAGTTACGTCACAGCGCTAGCTGGTGGCAGAACAAATGGAAAACTGGAGGCGGTGAATACAAACCAGCACAGATTCGGCTACAAAATAAGGATCTTAAATTATTCTTATTATTATTAAATGTCATCTTGTTGTGTTGTTGGGTGCAAGAATCAATGAAACATTAATATGCTTTATCTGCAATTTTTTATTTCTAGAAAATATTCACCTCATTAAAATTGCACCGTAATGTCACTCTTTACATTGTCGTCTTCATGGCGCTGGCTAGGCAGAACTGCGGATCGTACACACACGTCTTGCACATCACCATTCAGCACATAGTTATAGGCATCTAAAGATTTATATGCCCTCCGTTTCTCTATCAGGTTGGTGTAGATGTCAGGCCACTCAACCGGAGGTAGCGTTAACGTTAAAGTCCCCATGAATTCAAAATTGACCATACTTACTTTGTTTGCCTAAATTGATCGTTTTGTGGTGAACAATTCATCCATGCAAGTCAATCCACACAAATTTTTTTTTTGGCTTCGTAATCTTTAATCAAAATCTGAAATTTCCCCTCCCCTCTGCGTTGGAGGACCTTCCCTGATGACGTAGGTTTCACGGTTTGGGCGTCTGCTTAACATCCGTAATCACGCCCCTCCAACTGACAGTAGACAGACTGAATGAAAACACCTACTTTTCTAGATCCAATCAGGTGCTAGTTGGGGAAAAAGCCACGCCCACCATTTTGCCTCATTTAGTATTCCGTTTCTCTCGGAAATACGTCACAACACTGGAGAAAAGTCGTTTGCAACTTCCGGTTCACGGGGACTTTAATCCTGTCAGATCCTCAATGAGTGTACGGGTCAGCCAATCTGGTTCCGTCCGTTAAAATTAACTTTTGCAAATAACAATCGCGGTCCTGGACAGTGAGTGACCTTGCACATTAAGATAAAATCGGATTTTCTCCAGTCATTGTTAAAAACAAGCTAACAAAACTTGCAGACTTTACGTTAGTGAAGCGGCCAGAGGGATCGTTCTGCCACCACCTAAGCTCCGCCCACATAAAAACGTCACCATGTTTACCAACTGAAAATTGTTCTATTTACTGAACACTATACATCTTCAAATATCTTTGCTAATGTTTATTAGTCTGATGTGCTCACATCTCTTTTAAAGGGGTGAAGTGTCCGCAGCCGGACAGTATCAGCCATGGAAAAGTCACACCAGTTTTTGCCCAGTACTTGTACAGAGACTATATTCATGTGCGCTGTAACCCAGGATACAAGCTCATGATGGTGAGATTAAAAATCAACTAGTCAACTAGGAAATTTGGTGATGATGGCCTAAGCAACATGTGACATGAATTCATGTATTTTTTCCCCTTAATATTGTGCTTTTCTCTTCCTGTGCATTCTGTAAGGGAGAGAAAGAGATTGCAAGTTTTAAGTCCATGTGTCAGAGTAATGGACAATGGCATTTGACACTGCCAGAGTGCAAGAGTGAGTAAATACACATCACCTGATTTCACATTTTGCTACATTTCACCCATTCATCATTTTGTTTCTATGTGTCATTGCAGTTATTGACTGTGGAGAACCAAAGCTGCTGCCTAATGGAGCCTTTCGGTTTATCAGTGGAGAACACAACGAATATCTCTCTGTCATAGAGTATCGCTGCAATGAGCCTTACTACAGATTTAAGGATACTCCTAAAGGTCGGATACTGTACAAAACCCAATTCTTTTTTTTCTTTTTCTTTTTGTGACTGACAAATCCTGACTATTAAGGCTAATTACATTTCTTTCTTTCTCCTGTGTAGTAAGCTACAAGTGTGCAAATGACCGGAAATGGACAGAAGACAACAACATTGATGTTATTCCACCTTGTTATTCTGGTAATAATAGTGACTTGACAGACAGACAGACAGACAGATAAAAAGAGATTTTATATTATTTTGTACTTGTGCATTTGCACTATTGTTATTATTAACTTTATTTTACAATATGCATATTTATATATATATATATTTTTATATGTTTTAGTGTGTGGAATGAATTCAGAAGTCACTTCTGGTGGCAGAGTCTTTGGTGGGAAACCAGCCGCACTGGGGCAGATTCCCTGGCAGCTCTTCCATAAGACACATACCAGAGGTGGTGCGTCTCTGATCAGTGATTACTGGGCTCTAACAGCTGCTCATGTAGTGGATGGATTTGAAAATAAAAACATGACTTGGCTTGGAGGAATAATTAATAATGAGGACACAAACGCAGTCACTATGGAGGCCGAGAAGGTCATCATTCACCCAAAATATCATAGGGTTGGTCAGGGTCATTCTCCAACAAACTTTGACAATGACATTGCTCTGATCAAAATGTCTGCCCAGGTTCCACTCGGTCCAAACATCAGGCCAGTGTGTCTGCCAAACAAAACACATGAACTTGTAATGGAGGGCACGATGGGTACTATATCAGGTTTTGGAGGGTTTGAGCGGGGCGTAACAAGTCAAATTTTACGTTATGGGATTGTTCAGGAATATACTCTTGATAAGTGTGAATCAGGGGTTCTGCCTGTCACTGATAACATGTTTTGTGCTGGAGACGATGTTAAACGTGTTGACAGTTGTAAAGGTGACAGTGGGGGTCCTCTGTTCTTCCCCATGTTGAATTATGGAACTAAAGAGCAGCCCTATGAGGTGAGGGGCATTGTGTCATGGGGTCCTGAAAAATGTGGCTCTAAAGGTTTCTACACTAAAGTGCAGAACTACCTGAACTGGATAGAAGAAACAATGGCAAATAATTAGCAACAGCTGTGCAAGTCGAGACAATTTCAGTGTTCAGTGTTAACCTGAGATCAGGTTTAATTATGTGCATAACGGTCAAGAAGATTTAGAATAAACTGGTTTTATAATGAGAAAAAAAACAAAAAGTTTAAAATTTTCTATTTCAGCAGGCATTAAGTTAATTAAATACAATTGGTGCCTATTTCTGTCTTTTCTTATTTGTCAAAATGGTTTAAAATAAACTACCAAAGTTGATTATTTTATAACTTGATCTCCCTCTGCTGGGTAAAAATAAAGTAGGCCTAGCGTTGGTAACACTTTACAATACGGGTGTGCTGATATGCATTAATTCATACTTAACTAATGCATAATGTTAATGTATGACTCACGAAGAACATTAATGAATTATTACTGCACCAGCAACGGTAAGACTAACAACTTTCATTAATAAATCATTAACAAACATTAATTCTTAACAGATCATTAGTTAATAATTATTCTCAGCTATAAATATGAGATAATGTGCTTGTTAAGGTTTACTAATAAACTTACTAAATGTTGCATAATGATTAGCAGATCATTATTTAATGTAAATTGAAATACTTACAAATTTCATTAAACTCAATCCATGATCAAACACATTTTAAAAGAAAATCTACAAATGTTACAAAGTGTAAGCACTTCCTTAATAAATCATTAAGAAACATTATGTAATGCTTAACTAAACATTAGTTAATATATATTTAAATAGCTACGCAATAATATGCTTGTTAATGTTTAAATGACTAATGTAAATGAAATACTAACAAATGTCATTGAACTTCAATTAATTTATTACCTAATTCAGGTTTTTCACAATTACCAATAAATGTGAATTAATAAGTGTGTTAATTTTCTAAGCCCTTCACACACTGTTCATGTTAACATATTATTATCTTGCTCTTGCACCACTCCTGCAAAGGACAAATGGACTTGCAATGCTCTGTCATGTCCAGTATAGTAAGCTTTTGCGGCATGATGCGATTATGTCAAAACCCATAATCATAATAATGACATATTACTTAACAATTAGTTAATAGTCATGCGCTTCAACAAGTAAAGTAATAACATAATGATACATTTGAAAATAATTAGCTAATGATTAATTAAAGCAGACAACTGGAAGTTGAAGTGAAGTAGAAGTTTGACCAATTGTGGAAATTAATACATAATTTACACTATTAGTTAATACTATATGCTATTTAGGAATTAATACATGATGATACATTTATTTAATAGCAATTCATATATTAATTAATCATATATATTTATTAGTTGCTGATGCAGTAATCATTGATTAGTTCTTCATGAGTCATACATGTGATTATCTGTGCAAGTCAAATCTAAACTGGTTATGCAATCATCCTCAAAGATGTTCCCCCTAAACCAAGTTACGTGACTACTATCGAAGTCAATGGGTTCCATCAACTGTTTCGTTACCGATATTCTTCAAAATATCTTTTGTGTTCAGCAGATGAAAGAAATGCATACACGTTTGAAATAACTTAAGGGTGACTAAAGGATAACAGAATCTTCATTTTTGAGTGAATTATTCCTTTAAACAAACTACAAATTAGGCCTACACCATTGTAGTGCTACAGTGTGAATCATGGGAAAGGTTGTTTGCATCTTTTGTTGCATTTTTGTAGCACTGGCTTATCTGTTGGTCCTGTTAGTTAGTTGACCCTTGCTCTGTCACTAGAGAGGCATTACAGTTGTAGCCGCATAAAAACTACAGATAAAAAAAAATACTGCTTTGAAAATATAATTTTAGTGAAGGTGCTATTGAAATCTGCATGTCTGGAAAAGTTCAAATTATTTGGTTCTAATTACTTTTTTTTAACATTTTATTTAAATCTGTGTCCATCCACACTATTATTTTAATCATCAATGTAGAGTATTGTTTTAAACCATCTCAGAAGAAGTTTATAGAATTGTTTATAAACTAAGAAGCAAAACAGCAAAACAGAGAGTCCAAAAAGTCCAAAGCAATAACCAGGGAGGGACGGGAGGGACGGGAGGGACGGGAGGGTTGAGCCAGGGAGGTTCAGGCCTATCAGGAGTCCCAGCTCAGGTCCAGGGTGGTGCAGGCTGTAAGGACTGGGCCAGGGTGAATCTGAATAACTAAATACCTTCGTGCTAAAATCCCAAAGCCTTTAGCCCCAAAAGGCCTGGAACTTGAAAAAACACACACAAACACACACACACACACACACACACACACACACACACACACACACACACACACACACACACACACACACACACACACACACACACACACACACACACACACACACACACACCAAAGGAACTTCTTTTCTTTAAAAGACATTCAACCAGATATATTTGATGTGTTTTTATGTGTGTCCATTTGCCCATGTCACATTGGAATAACTGTGACTTTATCATTATGCATTTTTACATTTAACTGTCTATTCCCAGTATTGTTATACGTCGTTCTTGGTCTTGTTTTAATTCTCATGATCCAGCGGAATTAATCAGATACAAGAAATTACAGTAAAAGTTATGATTCTATGTGCACCAGCTTTTGGGGACAGTAAGAACCAAAACTTAACATACTGTCAGAGCCTGGGGTCTTAGATAACAGCATTTACGACCGCACCAGGAATGTCAGAGAAGTATGTCTCTCTCTCTCTCTCTCTGAATTCTAACCAAGGAGGAGAAATGAATCCTGTATTCATATATATATGCTATTATATATCCACTTGAGAATTGTATGAACGATGTATCTAAGTTCCCTATTTCATGAGTTGCCTTTCTGTGGTTTGGTCTATGTTTCTCGACAACTCTTAATTGGATAATGTTTCAAACTTTGCCAACTAATGTTTAACCAAATCCATTTGTGGCAAGTTTGGTCTCGATAAACTCCAATCTTCGTTCCCCATTTGTTAATTGACATTACATTTTGCTAAACTTTGTGACACATTAGTATTATAAGAATTGTGAAGATTCTTCTCTTAAACAACCGACGAGATTAGGGTTTCAGATGTCTCTCTCTGGAGACAAAGGGCCATAAACCCAAAGTCCCGCCTGTAAACTTCCAACCCTCTAATTGGCCAAGCCAACAGGAAGAGGCTGGATTTCTCCGAAAGTGATAAATGACGCTTCTCCCCTTCGCTCGCTCTCTTTCTCCCGTGTCCTCGTGTCATGATGTAACGTCTCGCCTCCGGGCGAGCTCTTCGCCTTTCTTTTATTTGTTTCTAGTTTAGTTGTGTTTTTCATTTGTAGATAAGTCTCTGTGTTTAATTCCAATCGACGATTGAAAAGAAAACCCCGTGACATATCTCTTCAGCAAATCCATCTACAAGGGACCTTTAAACGAGCGCGCGCTCTCTTTGAAGGAGAAACACGCGCACGTGACCACGTGACGCGCCGGACCGAGAGACACACACGCTTCTTCACAAGCCATGGAAAGATGCAACGTTAACTCCGTGTGATTTCCCCGTAGAGATCTTTATTCCCTTTTTGTTAGTCAAAGTTTTGTTTTCCGTAGCCGACTCAGTTCACTTCCACGAAGTGAAACGAACTTAGCCGAACTATTTCCCTTTGGAAATGTTACAACAAAGACTGTAAACCTCCGTTCAACACGCGCGCCAAGCAGCCCACGTGACGCTTCCTCACACCCAAAGGACTCAGCTCACGCGGCCAGACAGGGCCGTACAGGAATGTTTCGACACAGAGAGAGACCATAACATAAGTTGATTGCAAGTATAAATCTCTTTATAGAGCTTCTAAGAAGTTTTAAGATGATGTTTCGTGTTGTAATCGGAGAGGTGAATGTCTTCCTGCCAATGAAATTCTCCCTATTTCTCTGTTCTCTCTCTCCCCATCCCCTTTCCTCTCTCTCTTACTCGCTCACGCGTGTACGTTATCCATTGTCCAAACTTTATGCATTTCTCGTTCATTGATGTCTTATTGTATTGTTCATTGTTGTCTATGTGTTTGTAAATACATATATCCCATGTAACCGTAGTAAATACATAAGTAGTCATGCCTCTATTAAATTAATTATATATTCATTAGATTGATGTGCTGTCTCTTTGCTCAATTTCAAGTCACTTAAGTGCCAAAGGTCTAAATGCTACAAGCTTTACGAATTAAAGATACTTTAAAGAGTAACGTTAACGTTATGTGTTGATAGGGCGGGAAACCCAATTCTTCTGGCCAGAGAATTGCGTTTCCTGAAATCCTATAAAGTAAGATGATATTGTGGATCCCACAAATATCATCCTGACAATTGAGCTAATTCATTTTACCTGTTTGTGAAACATGGTCCGTGTAATTAACTGCAATCAACTTGTGGTTAATTTCCGGGATTCACATGCACGCATGCAGGTAGAATGACAGATCCTCCCTTATCGGGAGATTTATTAACATGTAAGACTGATCTAATCCAAACATGTATGAATAATTATTAATTACCAATTATTAATTACGATATGCAAATTCCCCACGGATTAGATCCGCCCTGAATCCTTACATAAAAATGGTGGAGAAAATGCTAAGCACATTTTAAACTTGTTTTATGAGCAAAATCAGTTTTCAATCTATGTCTATATTGTGATTTAATATTGTACATGTGCCTCGAGTGAGCGAACGCAATGCGAACTCACCGCTGCAAAATAATGTCTGACATTCCGTTTGCCATTGTTAATAACTAAAAGTAAACTGCAGTTCATAGTATTAAATTTGTCCCACAAAAGACGAAGAAACCTCTTTTGAACGACGACATTTTTAATGTTAAACTCCCCTGTCCGAACGATGTTCTTCTGTCAGGGTGAAGACAAGATTTAGTGAATCGATGCTCTTTCACTATTCTTAAAAAGGCCTTATTTTATAATCGTTAGATTAACGATAAAAACTCCTGGTTAAAACATTGACTTAGCTACTCAATTGTAAAAAACCGAAAAGCATATTATCACAAGTGCTATTTGATATATGCTTGGAGTCGAAAACAGATGAATAA